CGGTGCCGAGATCTTCCTTCTCCTGCTCCTGTCGTACTGCATTGCGAGAGAACCCTGCACTTAAGAACACCAGCTTTTGCTGAAGGACAAAACCCCCACACGTTGCTGCACAGGATCTTGAGGTGGCACTGACGCAGCTTCCTGGGAGCCATGGTTTGCGCACCGGTGTCTCAGGGACAGGAGCTGCTTAACCACCTGCTCCTGCCAATGCCTCACTGCAATGGCCTGGGCTCCCACTCTTCCTTGCAGCCTTTTCCTGCCCATGTGCATGTTCAGCAAGAAGCGGGCTCTGCTGACAGCTGCAGCTGCAAGAGAATAGTGACCCCTATCCACAGAGGTTTCTTCATCTGCAGGCCAGCAGGTCTCACTGACGCTCTGGGCAGGATGAAGGTTGTCGGCAGAAGTAATGCAGGCGTGCAGGACATATTCCTTTTCTTGGTCCTCCACAGATGGATAAATAGAGCACCCTGGCGATAGGAACAGCCAGCCTTGCCGCTGGAGGACCTTGTCCCGAAGTGCGTGGAGCCTCTTGCCTTGTGGCAGTATCCCGAGAGCCATGGATTGGGCACCGGTGGCTCTGGGACTCTTTCAGCTGTGAAACTTGCTGCTGGCAATGCCTTCCCTCAACCCAGAAGCACGCTTATGGCTTCTAGGCTTTTCCTTTCCAGTTGCATCCTCAGGCATGACACAAGTCTCCTGCCAGCTGTGGCTCCAAGAGAGCCCAGAGAGAGCACTCCCTGTAGACAGGACTCCAGCAAGTCTGCCAGAGGCTCTTCCAGGGACAGAGTGCTGTGCTAGAAAGTAAATGCGGTGCAGAGATCTTCCTATCCTGTTCCTGCCATACTGGTTCAGGAGAGAGCCCTGGACTTGGGAGACCTGCCTTTGCACTGCAGGATCTTGTGCAGCAACGTGCAGGGAGTCATCTCCTACGGCACAGTCGGAGCATCCAGAGAGCCATGGATTGGGCACTGGTGGCTCCGGGACTCTTTCAGCTGTGCAACGTGCTGCTGGTAATGCCTTCCCTCAAGTCTGAAGCACGCTTACGATTTCTGGGCTTTTCTATTCCAGTTGCATCCTCAGGTACGACACAAGTCTCCTGCCAGCTGTGCCTCCAAGAAAGCCAGGAGAGAGCACTCCCTGTGGACAGGACTCCAGCAAGTCTGCCAGAGGCTCTTCCAAGGACAGAGTGCCATGCTAGAAAGTCAATGGGGTGCAGAGATCTTCCTGCTCCTGTCGTACTGGTTCAGGAGAGAGCCCTGGACTTGGGAGACCTGCCTTTGCACTGCAGGATCTTGTGCAGCAACGTGCAGGGAGTCATCTCCTACGGCACAGATCGGAGCGTCCAGAGAGCCATGGATTGGACATTGGTGGCTCCGGGACACTTTCAGCTGTGCAACGTGCTGTGGCAATGCCTTCCTTGGACCTTTGCCAAGCTCCGGAAATTCCAGCTTTTCCCTTGCCAGGTGCATCCTCAGAGATGAGACGCGTCTCCTGACACCTGTGACTCAGAGGGAGAAGGGAGACCTGTCCACAGGGATTCCTCTGTCTGGAGTGCGGCAGCTCTTTCACAGGTGCTGAGAGGGATGGAGTCTCACTCCACAAGGAAGCCGGCTGCGCGGATATTCCTCCATCTGCTTCTGCTCTACTGACTCCAGAGAACACCCTGGAGACAGAAACGTCTGCCTTGGCCACGGGGAGATCTTGTCCCGCACTGCCCGTAGCCTCTTTTTCTATGGAAGCATCCTGGGAAGCCAGGATTGGGCAGTGGCAGATCCAGGACACTTGCTGCTGTGCCACCAGCTGCTTCTGGGAATGCCTTGCTGCAGTGGCCTGGGCTCCCGCTCTTACTTCCAGCCTTTGCCTGGCCAAGTGAATCCTCAGGGAGGAGCGGGCTTCACTGTTTTCTGCCCCTCCCAAGTAGCAGGGAGACACGTCCAGAGGGGCTCCTGTGTCTGACTCCAGTAGGTCTCCCAGAGCCTCTGCCAGGGATGGAGTCTCTTGCCACAGGGAACTGTGGTGCCGAGATCTTCCTTCTCCTGCTCCTGCCGTACTGCATTGCGAGACAGCCCTAGAGTTGCAAACACCAGCTTTTGCTGAAGGACACAATCCCCCGCACGTTGCTGCACAGGATCTTGAGGTGGCACTGCCGCAGCTTCCTGGGAGCCATGGCTTGGGCACCGGTGTCTCGGGGACAGGAGCTGCTGGACCACCTGCTCCTGGCAATGCCTTACTGCAATGGCCTGGGCTCCCACTCTTCCTTGCAGTTTTTTCCTGCCCATGTGCATGTTCAGCCAGGAGCGGGCTCTGCTGACAGCTGCAGCTGCAAGGAGAATAGTGACTCCTATCCAGAGAGGCTTCTCCATCTGCAGGCCAGCAGGTCTCACCGTTGCTCTGGGCAGGATGAAGGTTGTGGGCAGAAGTAACGAAGGCATGCAGGACATATTCCCTTTCTTGGTCCTCCACAGATGGATAAATAGAGCACCCTTGCGATGGGAACAGCCGGTCTTGCCGCTAGAGGACCTTGTCCAGAAGTGCGTGGAGCCTCTTGCCTTGCGGCAGCATCCCGAGGGCCATGGATTGGGCACCGGTGGCTCTGGGACTCTTTCAGCTGTGCAACTTGCTGCTGGCAATGCCTTCCTCCAAGGCAGAAGCACGCTTACGGCTTCTAGGCTTTTCCTTTCCACTTGCATCCTCAGGCACGACACAAGTCTCCTGCCAGCTGTGGCTCCAAAAGAGGCAAGAGACAGCACTCCCTGTAGACAGGACTCTAGCAGGTCTGCCAGAGGCTCTTCCAGGGACAGAGTGCTGTGCTAGAAAGTAAATGCAGTGCAGAGATCTTCCTGCTCCTGCTCCTGCTCCTGTCGTACTGGTTCAGGACATAGGTCTGGACTTGGGGGACCTGCCTTTGCAGTGCAGGATCTTGTGCAGCAACGTGCAGGGAGTCATCTCCTACGGCACAGATGGAGCGTCCAGAGAGCCATGGATTGGACATTGGTGGCTCCGGGACCATTTCAGCTGTGCAACTTGCTGCGGGCAATGCCTTCCTTGGACCTTTGCCAGGCTTGGGAAATTCCAGCCTCAGAAATGAGACGGGTCTCCTGACACCTGTGGCTCAGAGGAATAAGGGAGACCTGTGCACAGGGATTCCTCTGTCAGGAGTGCGGCAGCTCTTTCACAGGCACTGGGAGGGATGGAGTCTCACTCCACAAGGAAGCCAGCTGCGCAGATATTCCTCCATCTGCTCCTTCTGTACTGGCTCCAGAGAACTCCCTGGAGATGGAAACTTATGCCTTGGCCACGGGGAGATCTTGTCCCGTACTGCCCGTAGCCTCTTCTTTTTCAATGGAAGCATCCTGGGAAGCCAGGATTGGGCAGTGGCAGCTCCAGGACACTTGCTGCTGTGCCACCAGCTGCTCCTGGGAATGCCTTGCTGCAGTGGCCTGGGCTCCCGCTCTTACTTCCAGCCTTTGCCTGGCCAAGTGCATCCTCAGGGAGGAGCGGGCTTTGCTGTTTCCTGCTCCTCCCAGGCAGCAGGGACACCCATCCAGAGGGGCTCCTGTGTCTGACTCCAGCAGGTCTCCCAGAGCCTCTGCCAGGGATGGAGTCCCTTGCCAGAAAGTAAATGTGGTGGAGGTCTTCCTTCTTTTGCTCTAGCCAGGACTCTTTGAGGTTTGGAAGTTGCTGGTGGGAGACCTGTGTACAGGGAGTCCTCTCTGTGGAATGCAACATCTCTGCCACAGGGTCTGGTAGGAGTACAAGCTCTTGCCTAGAAGTTGTGGAGGTTCATACGTAATCTTTATCCTCGTCCTCCACAGATGGATCAGGAGAGCAGTCTTGAGATGGAACGGCATTCTTTTACTTTTGAACTTTGAACTTTGTCTGGAACCGTGCTGAGGATGTTTTTTTCTGGCAGCATCCTCGGGTCAATGGATTGTGCAGTGGCAGCTCCTGGACACTTTTGTCTTGCCAGTTGGTCTTGGGGATTCTTCAGTGGAATTGCATAGGCTCCCACATTTACTTCCAAGCTTTTCCTGTCCTTTTGCATCATCAGGTACTAGCAGGGGCTGCTGATACTCGCACCTATGAGGGAGCATCCAGACCTGTTTACAGGGTTCCTCTGCCTGGATTCTGGCAATTCTCAGGGAGGCTCTGGCAAGGATGAAGGCTCTTCCCAGAAGTATCATAGGTGTGAGATATTCATTATCCTGCTGCTTCACAGTCAGCAGGAGGGAGCACCCTGGAGATGGGAACACCTGACTTTGTCACCACAAAATCTCTTCCAGCAACATATGGGTGGTGTTGTCATACGGAACTGCCACAGCTTCCTTGACGTCTTGGATTGGCACCAGAGTCTTGAGCTCAGTTGCTGCTGGGACACCTGCTCCTGGGAATGCCTCACTTCAGTGGCCTGGGCTCCCCCTTTTCCTTTGCAGCCTTTTCCTGCCCGTGTGCATCCTCAGGGACGAGTGGGCTCTGCTGATGCCTGCAGCTCCAAGGGAGGAGGGACTCCTATCCATGGAGGCTTATCCAGGTGGAGTCCAGCAGGTCTCATGGAGGCTCAGGGAATGATGAAGGCTATTTGCCAAAGCAAGGGATGTGTAGAGATATTCCTCATCTCGTTCCTGCACAGTCGGCTCCAGAGAGCACCCTGGAGATGGGAACAGCTGCCTTTCCCACTGGAGTATCTTGTCCAACACCTTCTCATAATGCACCGCCATGGTGTCCTTGGAGCCATGGATTGGGCACCAGCAGCACTCCCTTGCTAGTCTGTCCTTCTCTCTGCACATCTTTGTCTAAATCTTCCTGTTGGTTTCCCATTTCAGGGGCATTGGAATACAGGTATTTCAGGATGCGTCCCAGGAGGACAGTCCATAGTGACATCCTGTAGGCTCGTTGGAAGAAGAGAGCTCTGCTGAACAGAAGCAAAAGGGAAACAAACATCTAGAAAAATATTTACCGGTCTCATCTTAAAACAGAAGTCAAAGCAGTACAATAGAACATCGAGCCAACTACAGTTTTCATGACACCTTTGATACAGCTTGGAAGTCAGAGTTTTTACCAGGAATTGCAAAATATCCATGTTCTGTTCCTAGTAAGTTTTATTAAACTCGTCATTTCTATTTCTGTCCTGCTTTCTGGCATACAAAGTTTGTCTGCAGGTCAAAGAAGGACAGACTCTAGCTTGTATAGGAACTTCCTTTTACTGAGTTCATTCATGTTACCGGGCTGTAAATATTCTTGACTTCTAATCCTTAAAACATCACATTTCAAGGGAGATTACTAACTGGAAAAATAGCTAAATTGAGTCATGGAAGAATAAATGAGTTTATTCGATTCTTTTATTTCAATAGTCAAAGCCTTGAAGCCCTTTTCACAATAGAGACATTTGTATTAACAGTGTTCCCATATGTCCCTTTTCTTCCTACAGTAATCCAACCAAACTAATTTGTCACTGTTCCAAGGAATTGCCAGCCGCTTTTGCTCTCTTTTCCCATCATATATCTCTTTGATAGAAGTACCATTTGAAAACACTGGCACTCCTATATTTGAAACTCCCAGCATAGCACAGGGATTTGAGAGCTGAACTTGAAACTTGATCAGTGATATTGACAGCATGGGATGAAGAACTAGGAAATTTCAGGACAAACGTTCATTCAAAAATACTTCCAAAAATATACATCAATTTTTTGAAGTGAAGATTTTTTCACTGGTCTTGAAGGGGCAGTTTCTTCCACTAATAACCCAGGATGGAGCAGGGAACAGAGGGGACCACACTGTGCTGTGCAAGGCTCCCATGATGTAGAGTCCAGGCTACCTTGCAAAGATTTAAATAACCCTGGCACGAACAACAAACTGCCAGTGCAATTTCCAGGCCTACACAGGAAAAGGATGCAAGTATGGGGCCTTAAGGGTAGCTGGGAAAATAAAACATGCAATTATTCCAGTAAAGCCAAAGGCAGCCTAAAGCACTTCAGAGACTGAGGGGGTCCAGCAGCCCTAGAAGCCCCCCCTCAGTTTTCCCTTCCTCTGGATTGACTTCTCTCAAATCAAGCACCTTGAAAGCACTGCCCCTGGGAGAGCTGGAAAGGTGTTGGGCTCTGTATTTTCACTAAAGACATCTCTATACATGGGAGTAGATCTAGCTCTGACACACAGCCAAGCTACAAGATACATTTGTTTTCTAGGTTGGGAGAGCCCCTTTTTCTCCTGCCTAAACCATCCTTTCCAGGAGTGCTGCAACAAAACCAAAACACAGACTAAGTAAGTTTGGTTTCAGCATCAGAAGAATACTCAGTTGGTCACGTACCATATTCTCAGGAGCTGAGAATGTCACCTGGGAGTCAGACTAATTGGGCTTCTTACTGACTGTCACAAGCAACTGCAGCAGACAACTTCTTTCATAAAGACATCACAGAACTGTTTGCCTCCTCTCCTAAGTCTCTGGAAACTGCTTCCAGAGCTCTGCTACTCGGAAAGGTAAGGCCACCTCCCAGCTCTGGGGGATTTCAGGACTCTTGATACATGCAACTTGTCAACCCCAAGGGCATTTGGGAGCTGAGGGAGTATGGGGGGAATTCCAGGTAAAAGACTTTTCTAAAAAAACGAGGCATTTCAGTGCCTCAACTCATTTACTTTAAGCACAGCATTGCCTGCATGTTCCTTCACTACAACAAGGATAATTGTCCAGCCACCTTTTCTCCTTCAGAACACTACAGAGTGTGTCCTTCACAAAACCTTGGTGTTAGTTTGCCGGTGTCAATAAACTATTCACCTCAAAAAAAAAAAAACAAACAAACAAAAGAAAAAACCAAGCCAAAAAGTGTCTTTTTTCCTTTCCCTGGATTCTGTGTCAGCCTTAAAACACCCCAGGGATGAGCCGGTAAGGCACTGCAGTAGTGTAGTGCTTCCAGTCCTTCCCATATTTGCTGGAACAACGGTGCTCGTCCCTAATGCAGCAGTGGGGGAGCAGAATGGTCACAGAAACGATGCAGAAGTAAGGCAAGATGTGTGCAAACCCACAGGCCAGGCAATAGGCCAGCGAGCCCAGCAGGTCTCCTGCAGAGTTGCAAGGACGAGCCCACCCCCAAAATCCCCAGGTCATCAACTTGCTGGAATACTTGGTGCCATCCACACACATGGAGGAGCACTCGATGTCCTTGGCTTTCTTCCCCCAGATCCTGCAGTTCCCATCTGTACGACGGAAAAGGTCCTTCTCTGGTGCTTGGTCACTCGGAAGATGTGGTAGCCAATCCAGCCCAACATCAACACCCCCACGGCATTGGCTGTGCCCAGTTGGACAGGCTGGGAAACCAAAGACAAACCCTGGGGAGCACAGAAACAACAGTCACTGACTTGCAAGATGTGCTCAGCATGCCAGACCAGTTACTTGACTACAGTGACCCACAACAGACGAGAAGAAAGGATGGAAAAACCCACTCCACCGCTACAACTCTGGAAAATTTGAATAAAAAAATTCTGCATCTTCCATTTCCCTTCTCTCTTTCTCTCTCCAAAATTGCATTTCTCTGTGAAACAAGAAGAGAGAAGTTGCCAGGATGCAAACAAAGCAGGAGAGAAGGAAAAAGCCAAATCCAAACTCTTCCCTGTATTGATTACCTTGGGGTCTCCTCAGTACAAAGCACAGCACCACATGGACTGTTCTGAGGTGTGCAAGCATTTGGACTTCTGCCTGTCTCACATACACACACGGAGTCAGGTGTAGTGCTGCCCTCAGAGAAAACCCACCCAATCTTGCTGCAACTAAAGCCATGGAATTTGTTTTTCTTTCATTGGCATTCAAGATCAGGCTGTGCCTGTGTCCAGAACAGAGGCTCAGAAAAGCATTTCTTAAGTTTCCACTGAAATCTGGTGCAGACATGACCAAGGCACTGGTGGCACTCTGAGTGAACAGTAGTGTTTCCAGTGGCTCTGGACACTGTGTCCAAAGAAGTCCCACTACTTCAGCAATGAATGAGCCTCTTCAGGCCAGTTTCATTTCCTGTCTAAGTTTAATTTCCATGGAAGGAGGTTTTTGCCTCCTTTCATAGGAGGTAATTTCCAAACTGCATTCTTAATTTCCTCCTCTGCGTTTACCTGAAGGACATTGACAAGGATCATGGAGTTTGTCACTTGGCCATGCAGCTCCTGTACTTTGGCAGCAGAGGAAAGGAGAGTCCAGGCTACAATCCCAGGGCGCCCATTGAAGGAGAGCTGGAAATCAAAACCACCTTCCTATTCCAGGGTTAAAGTCAATGCCCAGCATGTAGTAGAAAAGAAGTTGCCAGTGAATTTGCTGGAAAGCATGAAAAAATAAAAAAGTACACAGTTACATACAAGTAGAGGCAAGTACTATTCTGACTAGACATTTCAGATTAATTTGATGTAGTGACAATAAAAATCATAAACGCACGTAAGTTTGTGCAAGACAACACAAACTGACCCAACCCTAGCATTACATTAATAGAGATAAATTTCAGAAGTTCACAAGTGTCCTACTTTACCCTTTGTTTACACTTTTGAACAGTCTAACTATAACTCTGTTTATAGGATGGAGGTATCTGTGACGCTGCCGCTGCCATCACATGTATGAAACACGGAGGATGGTGCTAATGAAGCAAAGAACTACAGTCAAAGAATCAGTTATATATTTGTGCCAGTCATTCAATTTATAGGTCAAGTCTTCATTTAACTATTTAAGAACCACTATTCTCTCATTACTCAAAGTCACATACCAGTCTTTGGCATTGGTAGGGAAGAAGGAGCCTTTCATCATTGCAAATGTGGGAAGTGGAGATCGCAGGATATTGGCACACCATAGCAGAGGAATCCAGTTGTCAAAAATGATGGTGGGGCAGAAGAAGTGGAAGTCATAGGCATTTGCAAACCAAAGCACGTGAGTAATGATCCAGCCCTGAAGTCCACTGAGTTCATATTTATTCACTACACCTAAAATAAGAAGAAAAACTGGACTATTTAGAGACACTACATTCATACAGCTTTTTATTAATATACAGAAGCTCAAGCAAGTGCTCCTGAAATGACCTCACTTTTCTGAAGGTTACCTTAGGCTCTGCTGTAACCCTTAGGCTTTATGAGGCTCAGTTTTCTCAGGGGGCAGGACAATTGGGAACTAGATTCAGGTCCTTATCCTTTTATTTTGAGATTCATCTCTGTTAGAAGTGTTTTCCAACTTGGAAAAAAAAATGGAGTGGTTTGGTAAGCTTGAAGATTTTTCACACATAGAAGTCCTATTTCATTTGACAACCTTCTTTTGCTGCCTGTCTCTAGAAAATATCAGCCCTTCTGCAGTGCTTTCTTGGGAATGAATTTAAAACAAATGAGTATTGTTTTTCTAGAGTAACTTCATCAAGGATTACATCACACAAGGGATACTGGTGTATATTCCCTACACACCTATTTTTCCAGTCCATAAGCTTCACCTGGATTCCAAAGCCATGCAAAGTGAGAAACACCAAAGAGGAAAGGCCAGGGCTACATTCCACTACCCTTGGTGCAAAAGGATTCATCCAAGAGCTGTTTGAAAAACCAGACCCTTCATCAGTTCATAACTCAATCATGTACCTGGAAAGCCATCCAAAGGCAATAGATGCCAGCAGCCCGGTGGGTCAGCGTAGGAGTCTTGTTCCAGATGTCAGACAGATGTGTGTTCCCTGGGAGCAAGTCCCTGAGGAGATCAGTCAGAGAGCACTGGCACTGCTCACCGCCCTGCAAGCAAAAACACAGCAGTTTTTTCCCCAGTTTTCAGATAGACAAGAGGTTTCATTACATCAGACATTCTTTTCAGGGGACCTTCCAGACTAACCGGATGAAAACTGAAAATGTTTACAAGGGCACAGACATTTCCTTGGGTCAAACATAAAACATTTAGCACACAACACGCTTGACCAGCTCTAGCCACGATTGCCATCAAAGCCATGAAGTCTCTAAGAATAATCTCCTTTCTGGAGGGGTGCTATTGTCTAATGTTTTGCTCTCTGTAAAGCCACAGACAGCCGTGGCTGTTTCCAGCTGCAATACAACACCCCACCAACACCTGCCCAGTGCGGGGAGAACATCATCAATCATCAATCATCAATCATCAATCCTGCTACAGCAGGAGCTGTCAGCTGGAAATACACAGGTGCCAGCATACCTGCTTTCCAAAGCTCAGGAGATATTTTGTTCCTTGAAGGAACTACAAATTTTCCCTGTTTTTATGATTCACTTTCCTTTTTTGGAAGGAGGACTGTGTTTTAGCCCAAGCCACCTGGCAAGCTCTCGGCCTTAAAAATCTTGAAGGACTCTCCTTTGGCATCTGTTGCTACAGGAGATTCTCCATGAGCTTTCCAGAGCAGGGCACTACAACACTCTTGTTATTAACAGAGGGAAGTTTAACAGGAATGGAGCAACTTGAGGAGGAAGTATGAACCACTTGGAAATACAAGGACTCATTAGGGTCATCAGCTTCTCTCACCGTGTTCTCCCCAACTGGACTTGAGATGGTTGAGTATCATTTTGGCTGGGTTTGTGTTTTCTTTCTTGAACAAGTTTTTTCTCCTGATGGGCTGTCACGATGTCTTCTAGGAAGGAAAATATTCATTGCATTACTCCAGCCCATTCTCAGTAACGCCTATGGCTCCACAAGAGAAACATAACTAAAAGTTATTAAAAACTCTTCTATAGCCTGTCTCATCACATGAAATTTGGGGGTGGAGGGAAGGAAGGAAAAAACCCTTAGCAATTCCTTAGGAACTTAGATTCAGCAAAACATAATCCAAACACTGATGGCAAACTAACCCATTAAACTTCTTGCTAACTGGAAATTTCTTTCAAGACGTCATCTAGAATACATGGCTTAGTCTTGATTATTACGTGAGATGCCAAAGGAAAGTAAAAGGTTTCACCTCATTCTTACAAACCTCTGACAATCAATTCCTATATCTAACTGCCTTCCTTAATTAGAGACATGGCTACTGTTGTAACGTTATCTCTACGGGCCCCTGGTAACGAGGTACTTTGGCCCAGACCCCTTGCTCCAGATGTGCCACCTACACCAAAGAAAACAAGAGAGACTCTCGTCCAAGTCAAAAAGCAGCTATTATGGCAGTTGACACTCTGTGGGGTTTAGCACTGGAGCTGAATCTCTGGGACACAACAGTGTATTTAATGAATGGTGCTGTTTCTGAACTTCCCAGGGCAGGTTGCAATTGGCTACTGAGGCCAAAAGGTTTAGTCTAAGGATTTTTATCTTTTGAAACTGCAAGTTGAATTTTGGGGACACATTGCAGAATTCTGAAACTGGAAAGCTGATCAAACAGAAACGAGTGTTTCTTCTACCACAGATTTGAAATAGTCACATAGGAAAACCTGAGGGACTTGTAAAATTCACAAAGCTCGAAGCCTGCTCAGCATACCTGATTCCTCATCTCCACCCATCATCAGGAACTGGGCTCTCTCCTCTTTCAGGCTCTCATCTGTGTACACTGTATTAAGGCCTCCTAACTTCTTAAGAAAAGGAGTATTAGAAGCTCACATTTCTGCAAAGGTTTCCTTAGCAGATGGGTTTAAAAACCAACCTTTGTTGCCATGACCAATGAATGTAGAGCGATGCTATAGAGCCAAAGGTTATTTCTGTTCCTGGCTTTGCTACACTAAGAACTTCTGTCCAGATCAGTGCTGGCCACAAGAATTCCAGTTTAACTCATTTCATTTTTCAGGCTTTGCATTTCAAGAATGGTGAGTACTTATTGGAAACTCTGAAAGGCTTGGAAGGAACAGCCTCCAAAAATATTTTTGCTTATTTCTGAGGGAGAATTTTCAAACCTCTCTTTTGAGGATGCAAAGAGTTGAACGACTTGTACAATTGAAAATAAAAATCGGTACGTTTGCTCTGATTAGTGTCTTAACTAATATTTGGCTAAATAGTTCTTTTATTGTTGCCTTCTTTAAAAAATATAACCCATAAGCAGAAAGGTGATCTCATCAAGTGTTGGAATCTTTTAAGTCCCCTTGTTGCCACAGAACAATAGCATGCAAATATTGCATCCAAAGATACAGAATCTTAGACAGATACACACAAATATACATATATAAATATATATATATATACACGTATACAAATACACACAGGAAAGTTTGGAGTTCTCGATGAGAGTTCTACACGGGGAATGAACAGAGGACTGGTTTTGTGTGTCATACAAGTGTGGTGACCATGAACATATGCTCTGAGCTTTGATTTATTGCCCGTCTTTGTAACTGCCTGCCTTCCCTCTGGGGGGAACACAGGCCTGTATTTTGCATGATCTTTTTTGTTTGACTTTGCAGTGTAGACTAGGGGCAGAAGATTTTTTGGAGCCAAATCATTTGATCCAGATTCAGTTCCTTTATTGGTGCATGAAAATCAGGAGCTGGACTCCACGGTCCCGAGGGGACCCTCCCACCTCAGCACATTCCACGATTCCATCCAGTCCAATTCCATGAATGCTGTCCGAGTCCAGCACTGCCCCAGGAACCCCTAAACCACTAAACCCTGGCACTCATGGCCAGATCCAGGCGCCTCTGAAACACCTCCCGGGTTGCTGACTCCACCTGGGCAACCTATTCCAGTGCCTGAGCACCCAAAAACACAGCGGAAAACATTTCTCCAGCAGCTGACCTGAATCTCCTCTGCCTCAGCCTCAGGCCATTTCCCCTGCTCCTCCCACCGCAGGTTCCTTTCCAGCAGCCCCCTCAGGAGAAGGCGGCTCAGGGCTCCCCTCTGCCCCCGCGGACGGCCCCGCTCGGCTCTGCATGGGGAGGAACGCGCCCAGCCCCGGCCCGACACCCGGGGGGCGCACCGGGGGTCTCTCACCGAGGGTCCCTCACCGAGGGTCCCTCACCCAGCCCCGCGCACCGGGGATAACTCACCGAGGGTCCTGAACGCCGGTCGCTCACCGGGGGTCGATCACCGCGAGTCGCTTACTGAGAGTCACCCACCAGCGGCCACTCGCAGGGGGCCACTGACCGGGGCCGCGCACGGGGGGTCCCTGCCCCGGGACCGCGCACCGGGACCACTGCCCGGGGGCCGCCGGCCAAGGGAAGCTCCGCGGCGCTCCCGGCCCCGCCCGCTCCAACCCAACCCCCACCAAGCCCCCTCTTGGCCCCGCCCAATCCCCGCCTCGCCCCGCCCACTCCGCGTCCTCCCATTGGCTGCTCCGCCGTGGCGCGAGGAGCGCGCGGGGAGGCTTCGGCGCCTCGAGCCCCGCGCGGGGAGCGTTGGGTGGAACCTGGGAAGGGAATCCCGGGAATCCGGCAGGGATCGGCTGGACCCCGGCAGTCCTGCAGCCACCGCTCGGGACCGCGCGGAGAAGGGGCAGCGAGCGCGTGGCTGCGCCCGCCAGAACGTGCAGGGAAGCAGGCGCGCACAAGGCGCGTTCAGACCACGGGCAGGAAGGATCCCTAAAAAGAACAAAAGTGTTGAGTGAGAGGGAACTGCTGGCAGAATCACAGAATATGCTGAGTTGGAATGGACCCACAAGGAGCGTCGAGTCCAAACCTTTGTCCTGCAGAGCACGAAAACCAAGAGTCACACCATGTGCCTTAACTCTCTCAGCCTTGGTGCTGTGACCACTGCCCTGGGGAGCCTGGTGCATTGCCCAACCACCCTCAGAGGGAAGAACCTTTCCCAAACATCTCACCTAAACCTACGTGAAAAAACCCTATTCACCAAAAATATATAAGTAAATAAATAAATAAATAAAGTTTCTTTTTTCCTCCTCCCCTTCTTCTTATTTAGTGTTTACACAATAGTACTTCAGTGACCTACTGACTCAAAACTGCAATACATTAAGTCCTTCCTATGTATGCTGCATTTTGTATGTTATGCAGTTGCTAATCTGTCTGGAGTACACCAGGACTCCCAAAGATTCTGGGAAGGAAGGAGGCTATTGCAGGAAGTGACACTGGTGCTGAGATAAATGCATGATATTCTACTCTAGAGGCGGCTCAAGAGACAGCCCTGGAGTTGGAAGAACTTACCTTCATCTCAGGACGATCTTGTCCAGTACCACACGAAAGGGTCTTCTCCTACAGGACCGCTGAAGCTTCCTGGGAGCCATGGCTTGGGCACCGGTGTCTCGGGGACAGGAGCTGCTGGGCCACCTGCTCCTGGCAATGCCTTACTGCAGTGGCCTGGGCTCCCACTCTTCCTTGCAGCCTTTTCCCAGCCATGTGCATCCTCAATGAGGAGCAGGTTCTGCTGATAACCAGAGCTCCAAGGGAGCTGGTGTCTCCTGACACCCGCTGAGAATCTTTGTATCTTTCAGCCTCCTGGGATCAATGGACTGGGCATTGGCAGTTCCAGAAAACTTTCAGCTGTGCCAGTTTCTCTGGGGAATATCTCACTGGAATTGCATAGGCTCCCTCATTTACTTCCAAGCTTTTCCTGTCCTTTTGCATCATCAGGTACTAGCAGGGGCTGCTGATACTCGCACCTATGAGGGAGCATCGAGACCTGTTTACAGGGTTTCTCTGCCTGGATTCTGGCAATTCTCAGGGAGGCTCTGGCAAGGATGAAGGCTCTTCCCAGAAGTATCGGAGGTGTGAGATATTCATTATCCTGCTGCTTCACAGTCAGCAGGAGGGAGCACCCTGGAGATGGGAACACCTGACTTTGTCACCACAAAATCTCTTCCAGCAACATGTGGATGGTGTTGTCATACGGAACTGCCGCAGTTTCCTTGAAGTCTTGGATTGGCACCAGAGTCTTGAGCTCAGTTGCTGCTGGGACACCTGCTCCTGGGAATGCCTGGGCTCCCACTCTTCCTTGCAACCTTTTCCTGGCCATGTTGTTGCCTAAAAGGCTGCAGAGAAAAAAAGGCTCCAGGCCAAATTAGGTAGGAGGTAAGATAAGCAGCAGAGGTTTTAATGAACCTCCAGGCTCCAGGAACACAAACCCATGCACGCCCCTTTAAACACAGGAGTTACAATTTTTAGAATGATTTCCATCCAATCCCTGTCCAGCCACTGCCCTGGTTCTGCCCTGTTCTGCCCACAGGCACACCTTTCAGGAATTGAGTCTGGGGGAGTTTTAGGACCCCCTCTTCCTCATCTTCATCTTCCTCTGAGCACGCGCAGTCCTTGGAGGCTTTCCAAAGCTCTGGGCCTGAAGGTTGTTGTGTCTATATCTATATCTTCTTTGGTAGATTTTAGGCTGTTCTCTACAATTCTACCTTGAAAATGAGACTAAACAGGCTAATGGAATTTAGGGGGATATGGGAATTGGGCAACAGGGTTAGCTATATGTAACTACTGTGTTAAGGGTAAGGGATATATTACAACTACGTTAAAATCTACATTTGCTACACAACTACTTCTAAAATCTACAAAATTTAAAAAATCAAAAACTCTAAGGCAACAGTCTTAGCATCATAGAATCATGATTATCATATCTATTCCAACATCTGAACTGGCTACGTGCCAAAAAACCATGTTCAAGCTCCTGTGAACACTATGAAAATTGAGGGCAAATTTTGGAAAATCAGGGAGAGGAAAGGGAGAAGAACTGGTGACTGTAGTCGAGAATCTCTGCCCACCTCCCCTCACCTTTTCTCCACCACCGCGTGCTGCCTGCCTGCCACCGGAGACTGGAACTGTGCCGGCCTGGAGAGAGCTGAGACCACCGTGCCACATGTGGGAGTTCTACCTTATCCTTCTACCCTGACCATATTTCTGAGGGCCCAAAGCTTTGGAAGAGCTGAGACCCTGCACGGCCTGGGACAGGGGCGTGAGCGGTGAAACCACACATGGTGCATTGCAGAGAACTAAAGCTGTCAGACCTCCTGCAGCTACAGAGACAACATCCAAAAGCTGCAGAGACAGAGAAAAAATAGGGGTAGAAACTGCTACTCACCCACACACACAGACCAGCTCAGGGGAAAGGTAGCATGGTGGTATCTTCTCTCTGCTTTCAGAAGTAATCGTAAGAGTTTTCCAACATTTTCTTATTTTTTCCTCGTTCTTTTTGCACCTCTTAGCAATTAATAAAATCAAGTTTTGGTATCAACAGAAAACTTGTGTGAGTTTTAATTTTGCTCAAGGGAATATTCGAATCTGAAGCTCCATCTGCAATATTAAGATAGACTATAACGAGGGACCATGGAAAAGTGGAAGGAACAGGGAGAAAGGTGGAAAAGGGGGTGGTCTGTTGGATCCGGCGGTCCCATGGGGGTCTTTGGGTACAAGGAGGTTGGAAAAGGGGGGTGGCCCCCCTGAGCTCCCAACTGACTGTGGGGTGCTGGGGCTGCTGGATCCAATCTCAACCTTGGGTTATGCCAACAGGTTCAGTTTAGAGGAATTACAGAGGTGGGACTGAACAACTTTTGTCCCCCAGGTTTTAATGAAGGCAAATCAGATCTATTGATAGAAATTAATTATTTAGGGTAACAAATGATCAGACAAAAGATCTTCATCAGAATTATTTACTGCACAATAGAAATACTAAAACTACCAGTAGTACAGCGTAAGATAGGACAGTGCTCTACACTAAAGCAATTCTACTCAAGCTGGCACCAAAGCAAGAATTATTCATTAGAGATGGATGAAACTCCCTCAGACCAACGCTCGTGGGGAGATCTCTGCTCTCAACCTCCAGCACTGACCTTGGGAGGTCCCAGCCAAGGCAGAAATCTCCACACACCCCCCAGGAAGGGTTCTGTTGGCACAACCTGCCCCTTGGGAAAGGGGACTGGCCCTTTCTGGTGGAAAGGGATGGACTGACAGTCACTGGACTCCAGGGGTTGCCTCACCATCAGGGGGGTCATTCGGGGTGGGAGCAGCGGTTGAAGCTCTTCCCACATTTGGGGCACTCGTAGGGCTTCCCTTACCAGTGGGTCCGTTGGTGTTTGGTCAAGGCAGAGCTGTCGCTGAAGCTCTTCCCACACTCCCCACACTTGTAGGGCCTCTCCCCGGTGTGGATGCGCCGGTGCCTGACGAGGTTGCTGTTCCGGTTGAAGCCCTTCCCGCAGTCGGTGCAGCGGAAGGGCCTCTCCCCTGTGTGTGCCTGCTCATGCAGGAGGAGATGTGAGCTGCTCTGAAACCTCTTCCCACATTGCAAGCACTTGTAGGGCCGTTCTCCAGTGTGGATGCGCCAGTGGTTGATCAGGTGGGAGCATTGCCTGAAGCTCTTCCCACATTCACCACACGTGTAGGGCCGTTCCCCAGTGTGGATGACCTGGTGTTGGATCAGAGTGGAGCTGTGCCTAAAGCTCTTCCCACATTCCAAGCACTTGTAGGGCCGTTCCCCCGTGTGGATGTGCTGGTGTTGGATCAGGGTGGAGCTGTGCCTGAAGCTCTTCCCACACTCCCCACATGTGTAGGGCCGTTTCCCAGTGTGGATGAGATTGTGTTGGATCAGGTTGGAGATGCTCCTGAAGCTCTTTCTACATTCCCTACAGGTGTATGGCCGTTCCCCAGTGTGGATGTGCTGGTGTTTTAGGAGGTTGTAGCTCTTCCTGAAGCTCTTCCCACATTCCAAGCACCTGAAGGGCTTCTCCATGATGGGAGGCTGCTCAGGGACCACCAGCTCGGAGCTCCGGCTCAAGCTCTGGCCGCCTTCCTGGCACAGGTCGGGTCTTTCCTCCTCAGAGCTCCCTGGGTTGGCTTTGCAGCCCCTCCTCCGGGGGCATCTCCGGGCCTTTTCCTCCCCGCTGCCTTCCTGCGCCGGGGAGCCCTTCAAAACGGCCTCTCCCACCAGGCTCTGCTGGGGGGATTTGTCCTCCGTGCTCTCCGTCCTCAGCTCGGGGCCTGGGGCAGGAAGGAAGAAGGACAGGCAGGGATTTGCCTCCAGCCCAGAGGGAAGGCCAAGGACATCCCCCAAATCTGGCCCCCACATGCACCACAAGACAGGGCCAAAGGGCCACTGACTTCCTCCTCACCTGCCTGGGGGGCCCCTGGTCCTTTCCTCTTCCTTGCAGCTTCCTCCTCCATCCACCCAAGCTTTGAGAAGGACAAATCCTGCTTGGGGGGAAAACAAGGGTTGAGCGCGTTGCCTTGGGGGTTCCTCCTGCCCAAGTCCATCTCTAAAACTCACCAGGCATCCTGGGACCACAAAAACCTCCAAAACACCAAGATTCAGCCCAAAAAACCCCAGCCAGGAGCTCCTCCTCTCTGGTCCCTCCACTTTGGGATTCTGGAGGTCCCCGCTGTCCAGGCTGCTGGGAGTCCCGTGTGTATTTGGGCTCTCCCCTCTATGGGGTCCCTGCCCTCTCCAGGCTGCTGGGGGTCCCAGGAATCCAAGACTCCCCCATCTCCCAACTTCAGGGTTCTGGGGGACCTCCAAAACACCAAGATTCAGACCAGAAAAACCCAAACCACTAAGATTCAGGCAAAAACCCCTCAGAAATAGCAAGAAGACCCCCGTCCCAAAAATTGCAAAAAAGTTGAGATTCAGCTGAAATATACTCCAAATTATGAAGATGAGCCAAAAAAATCTCTCCCAGGAGTTCCCCCTCTCTTGTCTCCTCCCTCTGGAGTTCAGAGGGTCTTCCCTGTCTGGGATGTTGGGGATCCCACTTAGGGATGTTTGGAGTGTTGGAGGTCCCAAAGGTCCCTTCTGCTCTGACTCTCCCCTTTGGGGTGCCGCCTTCCCAGACATTCCCTCTTGAAAGGAGAGCAAGGCCTGAAGAATTACCTGAAATATCTTGCTTAGCTGAGAGAAGCCCCCCCATACCTGCTCTGCCTAAATTGCTAAAAAAAATTTGTTCTCTTCCATTCCTTGGACCTGATCTTAAGAAGAATGCTGGAAACGTTCTACAGTGGGTCTGTAGACCACAAATTAAAGCAAAGTCAGCCAAGGTAGACATTTGAATAGGAGAAATAGGCCTAAAACCAAGGCTCTCTCCAAGCTTCAGTGACTGGGGCAAAGACAGTGGAAAGTTAGAGGGGTGAAACTGAGGAAAACTGCAGAGACCCCAGCCCCGATGATGAAGAAAGGGGGATGAACCCCCAGAACTGAGGGCCAAGAAAAGCTCCACCCCAAGCTCCGC